CTAAATGATATTGGATCAATCTTGGTTAGTTGGTATTGTTTTCGGTTTAATCGAGGAACCACACCGATACCCACGGGTAACGGATCGCGTAAAATGGCATATACCGAAAGCACTCCGAAGACATGGTTCATATAGTTGCTTGTAATTTTGATGACACAAGCAGTCAAATAACATGGCATTAGCAATGCACAGTGAAAAGAAAGGCGGCGACAGAAGAAAGCCGAAACTGAAGATGGACAAGAGCTAAAAGACGTTATATTTCGTATAACTATGTCCAAGAATTAACATTATTCAAGAATGAGGCTTGCAAAAAGTAACCGAAAAACCAAATAGAACAAGTGATCTTGGAATAAGCTGCTCTCTCAGCCAGAGGAGTGGTATTGGTTTATCTGTGCATGACTTCATTTTACCTCTTCTTTCTTACTTCGAGAAAGATGAGCTTCTTCGATACGGCGGGTGAGCATAGAAATCCCATAATGTGAAGCACTTGAAGATGCATAATACGAGGTAACTGTCAGCTGAGCAAACTTCGGGAGTGCATAACCTACCAAATATTATACAAGAACAAAAATTCAGGAGCTTTCTTGAAAGAAAAACCTGCAGGTGTTCATACATACATAGATAAAACAAACAATTACGCAAGTTCAAAACACAGATTGTGAAGCCCATTCATTCACGGAAATTCAGGACACACGGCAATCATTCAATCACTAGAGCAGGATGTATCCATATAAGTATATGTTTATTGCACAAGAAGAGAAGCAAGTGAACCAAAGAAGATCATGTTACCTCCAAAGGCAGCCCCTGCACCTGAATATCCTAGTAGCAATGGAACCTATAAGCAAAGAAAAAATTCATACGAGGACACTGTCAACTGACAAGGAGAAACCAGGCGGAATATAAGAAATCGACGAAGACGCAAGATACAAATTCATACCCCCACAAGAAAGGAGAGCCGCTTTGACCCTTTAAACTTATTTTGAAGATATGGCATCCCTTAAAAGAGCAGAGAGGTAAGATTCCGTTGTAGAAAACGATTAAAACATTCGAGGACAAGTTAATATATTGTGTACCTGTATTGAAGGCATGTACAGCACTAAGCAAGCCACCAATACCAGAACCAGCCTATCACACAGGAGATAAACTTAGTTAGAAACAGAGTATTATTCCCCAACCAAAGAATCCTAAAGATAAACTCAAAACCCAACAGTTCTGAATTACAAATCATATCAAAGTGAACACAATACGAATCAGACAACAGAATTCAATGAAACAGAAAAAAGGTGGAACCTTTTCCATAGAGCAAACCCAAAATCATAACGCAATCGCCTAAGCTCCCAACATAAATTGCATCTAAAATTCAGCTCATTTTCCAGTACCCAATTAATCAAATCGGATTCCAAAACAACAATCCACTTATATTCCCAGTAGGAAGCATGAATCAAGACAAATTTTACACAAAATTGGAGATTGAAAAACCAAAATCCCCAAATAAATGTATGAGATAAACTGACCACAGCAGCAGCATCGTGCAAAACCGAAGTTATTGTCCACTCTCCTTTCTCCTGAGAAATTTTATTCACAAGAAACAAATTTTCAGACACTCTTAAACTCAGAAAACCCACAAAACACTGAAATGGTGGAAACTCACTGAGTTAGGGTCTAAGAGAGAAAGACAACGAGGACAACGAGCAGAACCAAGACCAGGATTCATTGTCGGATCATAATCAAGATTCCCTCGCCTCAGCTTCTCTTCGTATACTTCTCTCGTTCCCATCTTCTCTTCTCCGATCACCGGACTATCTTCTTCTCCGAATTATATTCCACCGTCGCATACACCACCATAAGCATAATAAATCTATCAGATTTTGATTAATGGGCCTTAATGGGCTTTCTTCTTTCGGCCCAAAGAAAGACACTTACGTGACGTCATCATCGTCTTCCAAAAATCGATTTGCCCTATCTTCTTCTTCGATTTTGTTGTACAGAAGAAGCTGCAGTTATCAAATGCATTCTC